TATGCTTTCTCCCTCTCTCAGTTAGTTAAGATACATAATTCCTTTACGGAGAAGCCATCATGGGTTGCGATTGAGGAAAGTCTTGTGGCTCCTTTGTCTTTAGAGGCCTTCCTCACTCAGAAGGGAAGACCAGTACCATTTAAAGATCCAGTATTGGCTTTCATGCAAGAGACCTGGTTTAGAGCTCACTGATATACCAACATTAGCCCTTATCTTACCTCTACTGCCTCTATCTAGTATAATAAGAAAATATTAATTGGTAAGAAACCGGTCAGGTGGGAGGCTTGGGCTAGGACAGGTATCAATCAGGTGGGGGATTTATTTGGGCAGACTGGCATGAAACCGTTTGCAGAAATCAGACGAGAATTTAATCTGGATCCAAGGGAAATTTGGAGGTTTTTTCAAATAAGACACTGTATTAAAACCATTTTGAATAATAATCCAGACCCTCCATCTAGTATTCAGGAGATGTTTGCAGCTCCTGGCATTAATAGAATCAGGGCATCCAAATTCTATAGGATCTTCAGAGAGGCGCACTCTCCCAATTTGGGGGGACTGAGGCAGTGTTGAGAGAAGGATCTGGGTATCCAGATTTTAGAGGACAGTTGGAAGAAGCTGGTTTCATCATGGTATGTTTGCTCACCTGAAACACAGTCTCAACTTATCCAGTACAAGTTGCTTCACAGAAATTACTGGACTCCCAGTAAATTAGTCAGGCTGAAGCTTGTGGATAATGACACCTGTTGGAAATGTCAGGAGGAAGCAGGGACTCTAGTTCATATGTTGTACACATGACGGAAAAATGATTATTTGTGGGACGTGATCATGAACTTGGTGAATGATATTTTTAAACTTAATCTTTCTAAATCTCCAGCTGTGTGTTTCCTGGGACTGTTACCTGACAACAATATCCTTTCAAAAAAACAGAGACTGTAGATGTGTCTGGCTTTCATAACAGGATGTAGGATAATACTGAGGCACTGGAAGTCATCCAGCCCCTGTTCTCACAGGGAATGGACTGAACAAATGTCTAAGATGGCATCATATGAACGGGTCATGTACAGAATTAAGGGTAGAGAAGATATTTTTGAGCAGGTCTGGGGTCCTTTTTTGTTGTACATCGACAATGTTTCATGTATCGTTGGTATTTTTGTTGTTGTTCTTTTACTTTGAAAGTCAGTAGAGGATAGAAATTGTCTAATGTCATCAGTGGTCAAGGTTATGTTTTGTTTTTAGGCACCCGGGTGTTTTGCCCCCATTGCTTTTGTTTTTGCTGATGTTTCCCAGGAGGCGGTTTATCTCTTTATTTCACCTGGCATTTTTTGTTTGTATGTTTGTTTTTGTTTTGTTTTTTGTTTGTTTGTCTTTAGTTATTGTTAGTCCTTATTTGTTGGTTGTTGTTAAGAAACGGACAGAGAACTGACAGTATGATTATTCCAGTTGTATATTTGTTAATGTTTCTGTCCATCCAAAATATGAATAAAAAAAAAAGAACCAGAATTTAACACAGGATAAAGGGTAAGAGAAGGGGTAAGCACAGACAGAACCTAACAAAATACAAGGAGAGAGAAAAACCAAGAATCCAATCAAATGTAAATAGAAGTTCACTTGATAACTCTATAAAGATTAGCTGTTTATGCAACAATTAAATTAAAATTTTAAATGATCATCTGTAGAAAAGTTTGAATCCTGACCTCAGAGTCTCCAGTTTACAATTTGGACTCTTCAGTCCAGAAGATAGAAGCTTCATTCCTAAATCTTGTAAGATGTTGTTACTGAGGTCCAGCTCTCTCAGGCTTGAGGATTGGGAGCTGAGAACTGAGGACAGAGCTTCACAGCTTCTCTGTGAGAGGTTACAGGTGCTAAGTCTCGAAAAAACAACACACACACATCACACACACACACACACACACACACACACACACACACACACACACACACACACACCACACACACACACACAAAAGCTGAAATCAAAGTATATGATGGTACATTGTTATAGATCTGGGAATATCTATTATGTTCCAGGACTGGAACAAATCAAGCATATGTGTGAATTCAATAAGGAAGAGCTATGGCCTCACATCGCTCTGCTTTCAGGTGCTGCCAGCTAAATCTAAGTTTCATCACTCCCACTTTCCCATGATGTCAAGTTCTTTGTATCATCACTGGTTTATTCCATTCACTTTCTACTGGCCTTCTCCAGGCCAATCAGTAGTCATGCCCCATACATACAAATCTCACTGTGCATTTGTCATTCTCCCTCATAGAAGCATTTGTGGAACCCACCTCATCCCCATCTCCACCTCTCATTACTCAAGCTTGATTCAAGCCACCACCAGCGTTTAGGCTGCAAGGGGTCCTGCTCTAATCCCTTTCACAGCTGGGGTTCCATTCAGCTGAGACAGGCAATCGGACTCTAACCACCAAACACCAATCTATATTCTGTTCATCAATAACTCATATTCATTCTTTCTAATGATCCGTCCTTGTTGAACTGAAAATAAAGCCTTAAACAATAAAAGGTGAATCAAATGGACCATTATGGCAAGGCTGGGATGGTCAATTTGGTAAAGTAAATCCGTTGGGCATCTTTCTTTGCCTTTAGACAACAATTCTGATGGCAAAAGAGCCAAACGGGACAGGCAAAAAAAAAAAAAAAAAAAAAAAAAAATCAAGTTGCCCTCTAATAATAAAAGGTTTTACATGGTCGGTTATGTTATTTGATGAAAAATAAATAGTCCTTGATCTGACCTCAAAATGTCCAGTTTACAATTTGGAAGCTTCACTCCTAAATCTTGCAGGTTGTTGTTACTTAAGTCCAGCTCTCTCAGTTTACAGTACTGGGAGCTGAGAACTGAGGAGATTGCTTCACCGCTTTTCTCCGAGAGGAAACAGCCAGTCAGTCTAAAAAAAAAAAAAAAAATTCCAAGCTAAAGTGAACAAATGTCAATTTGCAAAACAATTCATAATTGACATAACATTTAAGCTAAGACCAAAATGTAAAATTTTTAAATTGCTCAGTACGGTCACACTAATACCTCTTCATTGAAATGGACAAAGAGCTGGTACATTTAGTTACACTATTTTAGTGCTGACACAGGTACATAGGACTGCTGGTCACTCATCTTTAAATAATGTTGGTAGATATAGTTCAAATTAATCCTTATTTATTTCAAATACTTATGTCTGGTTTAGTCCTCAACAAGTGAAACACATGCTCAACTGGGTTAGGATCAAGCAAGTGACTTGGCCATTCAAGAATATTCCACTCTCTCTTTAATAAACTCCTGGGTTGCTTTCTGTATGTTTTGGGTCATTGTCCATCTGTATTATGAAACACCCAAATCATTTAACTGCATTTAGCTGGATCTGAGCAAACAGTATGTCTCTGAACACCTCAGAATTAATTCAGCTGCTTCTGTCCTGTGTCACATCATCAATAAACTCTAGTAAACTCTCAATAGTCATCTCAAGTTGTTTAACTACATAAGGTTAAAACCCTACAATATTGGCAAGAAAGCCCGACCATCAGAAAATCCACTGTAAGCAGCGCTGGTGATAATGGGAAGGAAGAACAGTAAAATACTCCAGATTAAATTAGGAAGACCATCTACCATGACTGGTTGCAGGTGTTGAGGTTTAAATTTATCATCTTAAATGTTTATATGCTGATTATATTGCTTTATTAAGAAAGGCCTAACTTCTGATACGCTCTGTGCCAAAAAGTGCTGACAGGAAACTGCATGCTTTTGCAGAGCGTGCTTTTGCAGCTAGAATGAAGTGAAAGTGCAAACCAACTAGGTGTTTGATGCACACTAGGAGCAAGTATATAAATACCTAGGCTTCCGTTTGTGCTTCAGACCTGGATTGTGTTTGTGTGTAGGTCTCCATATCCAGGATATGTAAAATAAAGATCATTTTTAAAGTAAAAAGACCACTTTTGAGCCGTGTCTTTTGGCCTAAAGAATACCAAAAGAACCGAATTTAACACGCCGATTAAAGTAAGAGAAGTAAGCACAGACAAAACCAACAAAATACAAGGAGAGAGAAAAACCAAGAATCCAATCAAATGTAAATAGAAGTTCACTTGATAACTCTATAAGTTAGCTGTTTATGCAACAATTAAATTAAAATTTTTAATGATCATCTGTAGAAAAGTTTGAATCCTGACCTCAGAGTCTCCAGTTTACAATTTGGACTCTTCAGTCCAGAAGATAGAAGCTTCATTCCTAAATCTTGTAAGATGTTGTTACTGAGGTCCAGCTCTCTCAGGCTGAGGATTGGGAGCTGAGAACTGAGGACAGAGCTTCACAGCTTCTCTGTGAGAGGTTACAGGTGCTAAGTCTGAAAAATAATCAACACAAAGACAAAAATAATACACATCAATCACACACACACACACACACATATGTAATGGATTTTATTTAATATGTTTTTATATGTTGATCTGACCTGTGTCAGTGTACACTACAATTAATGATTAACTAAAAATAAATACAGTTAAAGTTTAGAAAAAACAATGCAGTAAAAATCGTGAAAGCTCAATCCATCCCATCCAAGATCACTACCTTATTGTGGTTTAGCAGTTTGTTTGTCCCAGGGATCCCAGGGGCAGTGTGTCAGGTAGCTTTTGGCCCCTGGTAGGGTCACCCATTGCAAACTGGTCCTGGGTGAAGGACCAGACAGAGTGATTCGAAAGACCCCTATGAGTAGAACATCAACAGAACAGTTTGCCCTGCCCAGGATAGGGTTACCGGGGCTCCACCCTAGAGCCAGGCCCTGGGATGGTGCCCGAGGGCACAGTTTTAAAAAGGGACATGGGCTCATCACCCTGTGAGCCCACCAGCCGCAGAAGGCGGTGCAGTGGTCAGGTGCAATGTGTGCCAGGCAGTGGCAGGAGTGGAAGACATAAACACAACGGTATCCAAAAGTGCACATGCAACCAAGACACCCTAGGCCACAGGTCAGTGATCGAGTTTGTAATCATCTCAGACCTGCAGTCATGTATTCTGGAAACTCAGGTAAGGTGAAGGGCTGTCCCCATGCTTTTTAATTCCTTTTGTTATCCAGTGTATCATAAACCCAGCTACTGTTTGGTTAAGGTTGCCCTCCTCCATGAAGGTTCACCCTACATTTAATGTCTCTGAACTCAGGCCTGTCTCTTGCAATCCTCTGTGCCCTCTTTCCAGACCCCTTCTGGCTGCCTGAGTGGTAGATAGTGCCCAAGCCTATACGGTGCCTGACATATAGGATGTCATTCATCATTCATGTCTTTCATTTTGGACCCTGACCTGACTAATGACTTTTACATGAGGCATCCCGACAAGCCAAGGAGGCTGCCTGGAGGAGTGCATTTGGGGAGCGGATTATTAGGAACCGGGATGGTGTGTGTTGTTGTTGTGTTGTCATTCCAATTTTTCTGAGCACTTCCTGACTTCCCAACACACCTGTGGCGCATCAGGCATTATCAGTCAGGGGTAAAAAAGGAGCAGTGCAGCTAATGTCTGGTGTCAGCATATGTCTCACCCACAAGTGGTAAAGTGGCAGTTGTACTTAGCGGCTGATTTTGCGACTGAAAAAGTGCTTAAGGGATTCTTGCCTGTCTTCCTTCCTCCAGCTTGTCTCTTTTCCACCATCCGCCTGTGCCTCCAGCTCTATGCAACCCCATCCAAGCCGGTAAAAAAACGTGTAACGTGTTAACTGTGTAACTCTATTTCTTCATGTAACTCTTGTCTTTCCTCTTGTCTGTTCGTTTTGATACTTTGGTATCACAGTTCGATATTTTTTCAATACAAAAAAATGTTCATGCCTTTTTTAAGTTATTAAAATTATAAATATTTATTTTAACTCAAAAGTACAGTTTTTAAATTAAATGTTGCTGAAACAACATAATAATGAAAAAAATTAAATGTATCTGATGGAGAAATCACTCATCTGTGGAAAAGAGCGTTGATTACAGAGAAATGTCTCTTTCCAAAATAAAAGCTATTTTGTCGACAGCAATAAAAGTAGCAATTGCTCTGTCTATCTCTTTTGCCCTCTTAGTATCATGTTCTAACGGCTGTCTAAATGACTTGGGTAAAGGTTGTAGCATGCGTGCTTGTTTTTGTTTTTGTCTGCTTCCACTTGTCTTTGCACTAGCATGATGTCGGCATAAATGTGCAGTCACATCCGACATACTGTTGTACTTTTGTCCACGATGCACTTAAGTAGGGTCATACTTGAAAACAAAAATAGTTCCAAACGCCAGATCTGAGTGATGGTGGATAAGGTTCAACTTTGGGTACTGTTGAGACAGTTACCATGCAAACTTGAGTGAATGCATGTGGGCGGCGCTCAGTGGATCTGCGCTCGACAATGCAGCCTAGGTGAAGTAATCAAGCACAGATCCACTGAGCCCTCAACACAGACAGCATTGTCAGAAGAAAAGTTGACCAAATAAATTAAAGATCTTGTATCGTTCAATACATATGCATACCAAACCGAGGGTGCAAGATGCTAACAGGCAAGGCATACATGGAACGCCATAACCAAGTGGCTGGCATAGTGTACAGGAACATCTGTGCCGAGTATAACCTGGAAGTCCCGAGGTCAAAATGGGAGATGCCCCCAAGGGTGGTGGAGAATGACCGGTAACTGGTCCCCGTGGTAATCGGAGCACTAGGTGCGGTGACTCCCAAGCTAGGCGAGTGGCTCCAGCAGATCCCGGGAATAACATCGGAGATCTCTGTCCAGAAGAGCGCAGTCCTGGGAACAGCTAAGATACTGCGCAGGACCCTCAAGCTCCCAGGCCTCTGGTAGAGGACCCGAGCTTGAAGGATAAACCGCCCGCAGGGGCGTGCTGGGTGTATTTATATATA